CGCCCCCGTGCCCGCCTCCCCCAGCTCCTGTTCTCCTGGAGCCTGCGTTTTGCAAAAGAGGTTTTGGCACTAGGGCAGGGAGCTGAGTCAGCCCCCTCTGTCCCGTGGCCACCCTCAGGGCTTGCCCGCAGGCTGCGGCCAGCAGAGACACTTCTAGCCACAGCCAGAGGGTCCCCCCCGCCCCCGCTTCTTCCACATGGCCCCTCATGCTTGTCCCTGCCTCCTGTATTCTCAGCCTTAACCAAAGCTGCCATCTGGCCTGGTTTTTTGTTGTTTTTTCTTTCATTTTCAGGACCCAAGAAACAGACACTGATCATTTCCCAAGGTGAATGCATGCCCCATGTGCTGACTTCTCCCAGCCCCCCACCGTGCAGCCCTGCCCTGGCTCCCCATGGGGTGTCACCTCAGCCAGAAGACAGGGAGATGGGGAAGCTCATCTCCCTCTGCTCCTGCAGGGTCTTTCCAAGCAGATCTCACCTGGCAGCACGTGACCGGGGCATTTTAAGACAGTCTGGAAACAGCAGTGGATGAGGGGTTTGGAGCCAGGACCCCAGCACCACCGGGCTGCCGGGGCTTTCCTGGAGAGGGAAGGGCTGGGGAGGCAGGACGCCTCAGAGGCGACGGTGCCATCGCCACTTCTCTGCCCTGAGCTTGATGCTGTTTTGCAGCAAGCGGCTGCTGTCCTCGGTGTCTCCTGAGTGGTTTCAGAAGGATCCCACTGCACCCAAAAAAAAACCCAACACCAAATTGAAGGAGCTGTATTTTATAAGCATCTCAGCAAAAGACGACAGTTCCTAATTGAGAGTTTCCCAGGTCTCCAAGCTCTTAGCAGCATGGTCGCCTCCAACACAGGAGAGCTGCATCCCTGCAGAGCTCCCAGGGACTGGAGGAAGCTGAGGCACCTGTGGAGGGTCCTGCCTCACAGGGAAGAGGCCGCAGCAGTGGACTGGCACTGCTGGGCCACCCTCTGCCCAGCAGCACCAGGGCAGGGGAAGGGCAGGCATGCAGAGCTCGGGTCGGAGTTTGCAAAGGGGAAGAAATTTAGGGGAGACACAGCTGGGCTGTGAGTGCCACCGGGGCTGTGGTGCCTGGGTGCTGGGGTCTCGGAGGTGGATTTGGAGAGAGTGCAGTGGGTGGGGCTGAGTGGCAGCCAGGAAGGGGGAGAGGGCAGGAACCCCCTGCCCCAGCCCTTCCTTGGAAGTAGACCCCAAGAGCGAGCCAGGGCTTCTGGCGGGTGTTGTGGACCAGCCGTGTGCTCTATGTACGTATGTGTAAAACCATATGTAACTAGTCATGGGTTCTTTGTTTTGGGGTTTGTTTTTTGATTTAATTGTAAAGCCATCCCCGGTTTTCGGGGGAGGAGGCTGCAGGGGAAAGGCTGGGGAAGAGAGGCATCCCGGTTTGTAACAGGCATCTGCCACTTCCCCTCTTCTGTAATGAGTTGAAATGATTTTTTTTTAAAAAAAAAGAAAAAAATGAAATATCGGAGTTACCTATCTTTGCCCAAAGAATCCCAGTTGCACAAAGCGATATTCCAGTGTGTCGATGATTGTGTGTCAGTGTATATTATACAAAGAGGTACTTGTCACTCCCGTTTGTAAACTACATTTGACATTAATTAAACAAGTATAAATCTTCTCAGGTGCTTCCCGCCTTTCTGTGTTTCTAGGCGAAAAGCAGCAGAGGGGACACCTCCTGCCCTGCCCCCCCTGCCCCAAATATGCCACAGCCCCTGGATGTGGGTAACATCCCAAAGGGTAGCCCTGGTCCTATTTGGGGTGCAAGGACGGATGCAGGGGGATGCTACATCTCTGCCCCATCACGGATGGGG